CAGTGTAGGCTAGAGAGTCGGGGAGTTAGAACGTCAAAATACAGGGTAGAAAAAGTTTAAAAATTGAGTATGGAGTTGAAATTATAAAATAAAGAACTCATTAAGCTGGCCACTTTGGTTGTCCTGTAAATGTAGTACTTGGGAGGCAGAGGGATTAGGAGTTCAAGGTCAACCTTGACTGCCTTGTGATTTTGAGACCTGTCCCTCTCAGAAAAGTTTGTTGAGAGAGTAAGAACCACAAGAAGTTACAGAAAAGCATTGATATAAATACAGTCACTAAGGGTGAGGAAAGAAAAGAACTTCTGCAGGGAGCTGCCAAAGGACCTGAGAGGGTACTAGGATGTGTCTTGAATAGAAGCTTTAATTTGCCTTTCTTTTTTACCCTCTACAAGAGAGGAGGGTGAGACAGGCTCTTAATATAGCCTAGGCTTGCCTCAAATTTTCAGTTCTCCCTTGTTCTAGGCAATAGTTCCCAATCTGGTTGCTGTATCTTTTATTTGTAAGGCTCTCGTGTTGTTCAGGGTACCTTTTGTCTTCCTTTGTTTTTGAAGTTGGCCTAACATGCTTGATTCCTTGCCTCTGTCTTTTGGGTTTTGGAATTTGCAGGTGTGTGTTAACCATCTCTTGGCTGGTAACTCTTAATTATAGTATGACAATATTGTAATGAATGGAGTAATACTTTGTGCATATCTCAATGGAAACAACAACGTGGGAAGGGAAACTGTTTATTGAGCACCTTATATTGAGCCTTTAGATTTTTTTTTTTAATTATTTTTTAAGACAGGGTTTCTCTGTATAACCCAGGATGTCCTGGGCTCTATAGACCAGCTGGCTTAGAACTCACAGAGATCTTCCTGCTTCTGCCCCAAAGGCAAACACTACCACTATCCAGAAGATTGTTTTGTTTTTGTTTTTGAGATAGCATCTCCCTATATAGGCCATACTGAATTTGAATTGTTACTGTAGCCTAGTTTGGGTTTGAATCCACAGTTCTTCTGACTCTTCCTCTGTTCAGCTAGGTATTAGGTTTACAAATGGAGACTGGAGTGGCTTTATGTTTTCTAGAGTTATATTGAGACAAAGTCATAGGTTTTGTTTATGCCACAGTTTTTTTTTTTGTTTGTTTGTTTTTTTCAAGACAGGGTTTCTCTGTAGTTTTGGAGCCTGTCCTGGAACTAGCTCTTGTAGACCAGGCTGGCCTCGAACTCACAGAGATCCTCCTGCCTTTGCCTCCCGAGTGCTGGGATTAAAGGCGTGCGCCACCACCACCTGGCTGTGCCACAATTTTTTGTTGGCTGCTGCTTGTGGGGTTTGATCTGAGAACTTGAAGGATATAGCATTGAACAAAATACAAAAATTCCTGCCTTCATAGAACTTATGTTTTGGAGTGGATAAAGCCAAAATTCATGCCTTGCTCTGTCTTGATGCTAAAGCCTAATTTTATTTATTTTATCATACTATGTAAAGAAGGGCAGGTAAGATCACTCTCAGGTGAAAGTGCTTGCTGCTAAGCCTGTTATCTTGAGTTAAGTCCTTGGGACCTACCTGGTGGAAAGAGAACTAAGCCTTACAAGTTTTCTTCTCACGTCTACACATGAACCCAAGCACCAGTGCAAGCACATATGTACATGCACACATACACACACAAATAATAAATGAAACAGAAAATTAAAACTACTCAAGAGGGTGGGGTGGCGATCCAGACAAGGTGAGGTGAGTGTTGAAGTCTGAGTAAAGAGCAAGAAGGATTTCAGGCCATGGGATAAATGGCTGCATAGGTCATCTACTTGAAATTGTGGGATTAAGGTAGGACAAGATAGGACTTGAGCCCGAGCTTCTTCCCTGTAGAAATACCAGTGAGAATAAATTTTTCAAGCAAGACAGTATGGGGAATAGTGGAAGGTTTTGACTTACAGGATGGAAACAGTTTTGAGCTGTCAGTCCATCGATGTTTGATTTTGTATTTTTGTGTTGCTAGGGTTGGAACACGGGGCTTTGTGCATACCAGGCAGGCCTCCGCACTGAGCTGCATCCTTATACCTTGCAATTTTGATAGTGTTTAAGGTGGCTGTCTTCATGACATATTCTCGTTCATATTCTCTCTCTCTCTCTCTCTCTCTCTCTCTCTCTCTCTCTCTCGCGCGCGCGCGCGTGCGCGTTCTTTTCAGGACAGGGTTTCTATGTGTAGCCAGGGTTTCTTTGTGTAACCTTGACTGTCCTAGAACTAGGTCTCTAGACCAGGCTGTCCTCAAACTCACAGAGACCTACCTGCCTCTGCCTTCTGAGTGCTGAAACTAAAGGCTTGCACCACCACTGCCTGGCTAGTTTTTGTTTTTTCAAAATAGGGTTTCTCTGTGTAGCCCTGATTGTCCTGGAACTCACTGGCCAGGCTGGTCTTGAATTTAGAGATATGATTGCTTCTTCCTCCTGAGTGCTGGGATTAAAGGTGTATGCCATTACTTCTGGCTATGATGTTCTTAATATGTAAAGAAGTACAGGAGTTGAGCCCCAAGGGATGAGGTAATGATGTAGTCAAAGGAGCAGTCAGAGACAAAGACTAGGCTAGGTTGAAAAGGGAAAAGACATGCTTGTAAGGGACAAGACCCTAAGGTTTCATGTTTTATTTTTTCCCAATGTCCTCTAGGAAACATTTTTTTTCTCTCTGTTCAGTGCTATACACCCTAAATTCCCTAGAGAAATATATACACCACTGCTGAGATACACCCAGACCCTAATGTTTTGCTTAAGGAGTCCAATATAAATCAGCAAAGACCCTTTATCTGGGATGAGTGAAAATGACGTTTTTGCTTGGGAAATCAGTAATAAACCCTCTTGTCTTTAGGGAAGCAGGATGATGATAGTATGGTAAAAAATAGTGTGCCTAATATGTAGAAATTTATTTGTTGGTGATGCATACATTTCAAAATAATTTTTTCATTTTTCATGGCCCAAATCAGACACTGTTAGTGAACAAGGTCCCTTTCAGCCAAGTTGTTTGTTAATGACTGCTTATATTCCTGATGAAGGGACATGCAGCATTACCCCAGCTCCCACACTAATATAACCTGTTTTCCTTTACTCTTGCTTAATGTGTTGTAGAAACCAAGAGAGGAACAGATGAGTAACAGCTTTCCTTTTCTTCCCTATGTCCTTACCCTACAGTGTCTAGCTATTCTTGAAGTGCAGTTCTTGTGATTAACCTTTTTGTCATTGGATTATTTCATCTTGCCTGTAGCCTGTACTTATCTTTTATGCCTTTTGGCTGATAGTCCCACCAGCATCCTTAGGATCACCGCTTTAGACTGTGTTATACTGCATACCATCCACTCATTTGAGAATTACTGTGTTTGCCATGTGTCATTCTCATTGTTCAATCAAGCTATAATAGAATAATAGATGAAAGTTCCAGTGTATATACTTAGTAATAAGATCTTGGGCCGGGCGATGGTGGCGCACGCCTTTAATCCCAGCACTTGGGAGGCAGAGGCAGGCGGATCTCTGTGAGTTCGAGGCCAGCCTGGACCACAAGAGCTAGTTCCAGGACAGGCTCCAAAACCACAGAGAAACCCTGTCTCGAAAAACCAAAAAAAAAAAAAAAAAAAAAAAGATCTTGGGAGACTCTTGTTTTGGTTACTTGGTTTGGTTGTATGTGAAAGTTGCTATGTTACTAAGTGAAACAAGATAGACATCTTTCTCTCCCATAAAAGTGAACTGGCAGGGCACTTCTGCATGAAGCTCAGCCCTGCCTCGCTTGTTGTGCCAGTGCTTTAGGGTGTTGCCTTCCTGTGACTCACTTCCATTTCTCCAGTCAGAAGGGGAAAATGCTTAATCTGAAAGTTGCTTGGTTTTTTTTTTTTCAGTCATAGTCTATTGATCAAAACTTTCATGTGTAACATGATCACAAATTGGTTTGGAAATGTGTTTCTTTTGGGTGGTTAATGTCCTGCTAAAACTTACATAGGGGAAGGGCATGAATTAGACAACAATGACACGTTAAAATTCCATCTCATAAACAGTCTCTGTCTACCCCTTTTCCTAGTTGCTCAAGCACAAACCAAGGCACAATTCTGTCAAAGTACATACACCCTGGGGAACCAGTGAGTTTTTTGGGCTTCCCCACAGAACACAGGTGAGGGATTTCTTACAGGGGTGTGAGCGCTCCTCCTTCTGATAGGTCATAACTGGAGAGCCTTTACCCAGAGTGTTAGTGCAAATTAGGCAGAATTGCATAATAGGTATCTTAGGGTTATTGTTTTTGTTGTTTTTAATAATTTATTGTTTTTATTTTATGTATATTGGTATTTTGCCTGTATGTATGTCTGTGTGAGGGTATTGGACCCCCTGAAACAGGAGTTATAGACAGTTGTGAACTACTATGTGGGTGCTGGGAACTGAACCTGGATCCTCTGGAAGAACAGCCAGTGCTGAGCCATCTCTCCAGCCGGTTATTGTTTCTATAATGAAACACTATGACCAAAGCAACTTAGGAGGAAAAGGTTTATTTGGCGTAAGCTTGCATGTCATAGCTTATCATCAAAGTCAGGGCAGAAACTCAAGCAGAGTAAGAACCTGGAGGCAGAGCTGATGCATTAACCATGGAGGAATACCCATGCTTGCTTCCTTGCTTGCTTGCTTCCTTTTCCTTTTTTTTTTTTTTTTTTTTTTTTTGTATTTCGAGACAGGGTTTCTTTGCAGCTTTGGAGCCTGACCTGGAACTAGCTCTTGTAGACCAGGCTGGCCTTGAACTCACAAAGATCTGCCTGCCTCTGCCTCCTGGGATTAAAGGTGTGTGCCACCACCTCCCAACTCTGGAACCTTTTAATTAAAAAAATGTTATATTCATTTGTGTGTGTGTATATTTATTAGTGTTAATGGAGTTCTATTAGTATCCCTGTATACTCCAGCTTCATGGTTATTATATATGTGTCTTGTTAAAGCTTTTGTTCTCTTCATGGTGTGTGTGTATAACTTAATTTCTTTTGGTCTCTAAATGAGCACAGGTGATGCCATGGAAAGTGGACAACCTGGTCCAGTGCAGGTTGTTTTGGTTCACAAAGAGCAACATTCCTTTGAGCTAGAAGAGAGAGCCTTGGCCAGCATCCTCCTGCAGGACCACATCCGAGATCTTGATGTGGTGGTAGTATCAGTGGCTGGTGCCTTTAGAAAGGGCAAATCCTTCATTCTGGACTTTATGCTACGATACCTGTATTCTCAGGTAAGAAAGAATTAGCTTATTTCAAAGTACAAAGTGAGCAAAATAAGCTCATGAGCTAAAATTGCTTAAGATTTGGTGAGGGGTCTGGGTATGTAGTCTAATGGTAAAGTGCTTGCCTAGCATGTGTGAGGAGGCCCTGTATTTTATCCCCAGTGCCTCAGAAAGCAAAACCAAAATGTGAAGAACATTTTGTTTTTCCTGTAGAAAGAAGGTGGTCATTCAAATTGGTTGGGTGACCCAGAAGAACCACTGACAGGATTTTCATGGCGAGGAGGCTCTGACCCAGAAACCACTGGGATTCAGATTTGGAGTGAAGTTTTCACAGTGGAGAAGCCAGGTGGGAAAAAGGTAAGGATGTTAAAAATAAAAAGGAGAGAAAGAAAGAAAGAAAGAAAGGAAGAAAGAAAGAAAAAGACTTAGATGTTAATAACAGAATAACCAGATGAGAACTTACGTTTATTTTTTCTTGAGATAGGATGTGGGTGCATACTGCCATGCTTGGTTGGCTCTAGATGAGAACTTTAACATTTTCTGTGTTAATCCAATTAGAGAATAATTTTGATCCTTTTATTGCTTTTCTATAGAGCTTTTGACAGTAGATCCTACAGTTTACTCATCTAGATCCTTTACTAAGTAGAAAGCTTGATTTAGGGAGGTGTCAGTATATATTTTATAATAAAAATGTTTGCTTTGTAAAACATTACTCACTCAAACCTCCTTTCCATCTTTAATTCCTTTAATGAGAAAGGCACTCTGCTGTTAAAAAAAAGTATTGAAAACAAAAGAAAACAGTGGTTAGAGCTGTATGTGCTATTGGTACCTATAGTCTCAGCACTGGGGGTAAGGTGGGATGGCAACCACTTAGAGGCCAGCCTGGGCTTCTTAAAATGTACATAAAAGAGCAAGGCATGGTGACTTATGCCATGCAGTGTAATCCCTACACTCGAGAGGCTGAGGTAGGAAGATTGGCACACATTTGAGGCTAATATGGGCTATAAAGTGTGGGACACACAAAAGCAACAAGAAAGTGATTTGGAAGTTTACTGTGCTTCTGTGTGCTGTGAGACCATTTCTCTCAGTTGATGAGTACACATGGAGCTTCTGTTCTTCAGAGAGCTTCCAATATGTCCCCTTCTTTCCTCTTTAGTCTCATTTTTCTAACTAGCAGACATGTGTGACAGTAAACTTTTGTTCAATTGGGATATCAAACTGATTCAGAATTCATCCTCATTCAGTAGTTTTTAGTGTATACATAAAGCTAAACAGTTATCAGCCCCATCTGACTCCAGAACATTTCATTACTTCAAAGGAGCCTCTGGTATTGGTAACAGTCACTCTCCATTTCCAACTCCTTCCAGCTCCTTGTCTCTACTAATTCACTATTGCCTGAGCTGTTAGGAAGCACAGCTGGATGGAGAACTAGGTGTGTTTGCATTCCACCTTCCTTTCTCTCCTTTTCTGTCTTCTCTCTTCCCTGCCTTCCTTTTCTGGTATTGGGGATTGAACATAGTGTTGTGTGTATGTCAGGCAAATGTTCTAGCTCCCAGTTACATCTCTAGCATCTCTATGAAGCTGTCTGTTCTGAGCATATGATACAAGTGAAATGATGTTTTTTGGGTCTGCCCTTATCCATTCAGCTTAATTCTCTTAGAGTATTCAATAGTTCTTTATTACCTTTCATGGCTGAACAATATTCCATTGTATGAAAATAGCATTCTTTTTTTAATTCATTGGTTGTGAATATTTGGGCTGCTTATACCTATTTATTTATTTATTTATTTATTATGCATACAATATTCTGTCTGTGTGTACGTCTGCAGGCCAGAAGAGGGCACCAGACCTCATTACAGATGGTTGTGAGCCACCATGTGGTTGCCGGGAATTGAACTCAGGACCTCTGGAAGAGCAGACACTGCTCTTAACCACTGAGCCATCTCTCCAGCCCCCGCTTATACCTTTTGTATATTATAAATAATGCTGCCTATACATGCCCGTAATCTTAGTACTTGGGAGGCTGAGACATGAGTTTCAGGGTAGCTTGGGTTACATTGTGAGATCCTATCTAGATTAACTTCTCCTCTCACAATAAACAAAATACCCAGAGTTGGAGAGTTGGCTCAGTGGCTCAAGAGCATTTGTTGCTGCTCTTTTAGAGGACCTGGGTTCAATTCCCAGCCCCCACATGGTATTTTACAATCGTCTGTAATTATAATCCCAATGCCTTCTTTCAACCTTAGTGGATACAACATATGTGGTGCACAGATATACATGCAAACAAAATAGTCATATACACAAAACAATAAAATAAACACATCTAAAAACTTATAAAAATACTACCTGCTGCCCGGCGGTGGTGGCGAACGCCTTTAATCCCTGCACTTGGGAGGCAGGGGCAGGCAGATCTCTGAGTTCGAGGCCAGCCTGGTCTACAAGAGCTAGCTCCAGGACAGGCTCCAAAGCTACAGAGAAACCCTGTCTCATATAAATAAATAAGTAAATAAATAAATAAAACCTACTTTAAACATCTATGTGCAAGTTTTTCTAAGATTGAAGCTCTTGTATATATCCATATGTTTGCTTTTTGTGTCTTTGACAAATACCTGAGATACACAACTTAAGGGAGGAAAGGTTTATTTTGGTCACAGCTTCAGAAATTGTAATCCTCAGCTGTTCATTGCTGTGGACCTGAGGCTAAGCTGAGCATGTCAGGAGGCTTGTGATGAGGCAGGGTTGACTATCATGGTGGGAAGCACGTGGAAGAGCAAAGCACACACGTGGACAGGAAGCTGGAGACAGACAGGAGGGGCCAGGACGAGCATTTGCCTCAGAGTTGTGTCCTGAGTCACCTACTTCCTCATTCAGTATGAACTCATCAGTGCGTCACCATTAATGGGGTGAGTGCCCTCACAGTGAAGTCACCTCTTAATGTTAGATTCAGCACCCGAGGACCAAGTCGTCAGCAAGAGCTTCTTGGGGAAAATGCTGTGTGTGTTTCAGTGTCACATGTCAACTCTGTGACTAACATGGTTATTTTTTAACTTACTTTATTATTTTTTTAATGTATTGATATTTCTGCATGCATTTATTTCTGTATACCATGTGCATGCAGTGCCTACAGGAGCCAGAAGAGGGCATTAGATCTCCTGAACCAGTGTTTTGGACAGTTGTGAGCCCTATATGTGGATGCTGGGAATATCAAACTCAGGTCCTCTGAAAGGGCAGCTAGTGCCCCTAACCACTGAACCACCTCCAATCCCTGTGACTAACTTTAAAAAAAGATGCCTAATAAACTTCTAACCAACCTGTGTGCATAACTAACAATACAGGAGGCGCTAGTTTCTATTTCTTTCCAGCCCCTGATACTAATTTTTCTTCCTTTTGCATGAGATCATATTTAGTCAAAACTGGCTTCCAATTTGATACCTTATCCTCCTGATTCCTGGGATTACAGGTGTGCACCAATATGCTTGGCTTATTTGTCCTTTATATGTGTAGTAACTTATTTGATGACCTTGTAACCCCCACTACCTTTGTCTTGAGACCTCTCTCTCTCTTTGTGTGTGTGTATTCCTGTGTTGGTGAATATATATTTATGTGTGTTTGTGTACAAACATATATTGAGGCCAGAGGAGAGCCTTAGCCTTTGGTGTCATCCTTAGGAATGTTATTTTTCTCTTCTGAGACAGTGTCTCATTGGCATGGAGTTTACCAATTAGGCTAGACTGTTGGCTAGTGGGCTGCAGGGATCCTGTCTCTTCTTCCCTAGTGTTGGAATTATAAGTGCACACCATGAAGTACAGGATTTTCATATGGGTTCTGAGGAGTATAAACTCATTTTACAAGATGAGCACTTAACTGACTGGAACCATCTCCTCTCTAGCTCCGCGCGCGCGTGTGCATATGTCTGTGTGTGTGTGTGTGTGTTTAATATCCAGAATAGTATGTATGAAGTAGTAAGTCATCGTGGTTTTGTATTACCTATTATAATTTGTATTTTACTAACGACTAATGGTATTGAACATTTTTCAGGTACTTAATAGCCATTTGTACTTCTTTGGAGTAATATCTATTCAAATCAAATCCAAAGTTTACAAAATTTTTTATTTTATGTGTGTGGGTGTTTTGCCCATGTGTATGTCTGTACCATGTATATAAATGATATTCATGAAGGTCAGAAGGGGACTGGAATTATAGACAGTTGTTAGCAACCATATCGAACCTGGGTCCTCTGGAAGAGTAGCAAGTGCGCTTGACTACTGAATCATCTCTCTAGTCCCTGATTTACTTATCATTATAAATTAGCTTACAAAGTAGTGGGTTTCCTTACCCTTCCACTTTCAAATCATGTGTTTTCTAGTAACCCCATCTTTCTCTCTCTTTCTCTGTGTTTTTTTTTAATTTTTATTTATTTATTTTTTTTTTTGACACAGGGTTTCTCTGTGTAACAGCCTTGGCTGTCCTGGAACTCTCTAGACCAGGCTGACCTTGAACTCAGAGATCTGCCAGCCTCTGCCTCTCAAGTGCTGGGATTAAAGGTATTCACCATCCACTCCTGGTTTAATCCCATCTCTATTAAAGCCTCCCTTTTTTCTTTTTGGCTTTTACACATTCATCCACATAAATAAGGCTTACCTAAAAAATTAGAAACTGGGATCTGCATATGAAAGAAAACATGGTGTTTGTTTTTCTGAGCCTGAGTCACCTTGCTTAAGATACTATTTTTCATTCCTATATATTTTATTGGGAGTTGCATTTTTCTTTAAGGCTGTAAAATTCTTTCATTTACATGTGCTGTATTTTTCATTTACTCATCTGGGGTGAATTTCTTACTGAGAAATGAATTGATTTCATTTTGTTACTGTGAATAGAGAAGCAATGGACATGAATTATCACACATCTGTGGTAGCATAGGCTTTTGGTATGATTGTGAGTAGTATTAGCTAGATCATATTTGTTTTATTTTTAATTTTTAAGCCACTGCTTTTCATAGTGGTTATTCCAGTTTACATTCCCAATAAACAAATATTTTATAATTTAATTAAAAATGTTAAAACATGAAATGCCTGGTGAATAGTGAGAAGTGGCTGGCTATGACACTGACATTTTTCTTTGGTGGGATAATTTTATCTTTATGTTGCTGCATGTACGTGTGTTTTGTAGCATTTCACCAGGTCAGAGCAGATACTGACACCTAGCAAGGCACCTAATTGCATTTTTCTGATAGAACCTACAAGCAGGGGTTGGGTAGCTCATGTAAATGTTACTTAAAAATTTTTTTCTTTTTGATTTTTTTAAGATGGTATCTCATTCTATAACCCATGCTGGCCTCTAACTCCTTATGTTGTCCAGACTGATCTTGAACATAATGACCATCCTCTTGTTTCAGCTTCTCAAGTGCTGGGATTATAGGGTGGGATATCAGGTAACTGTGTACTTTTATTCTTTGCATTCTCTTTTTCTTCATTTTAATTTTTTTTTTGCTTTTCCTTTCCTTTTCAAGGTTGCAGTTGTTCTGATGGATACCCAGGGGGCATTTGACAGCCAATCAACTGTGAAAGATTGTGCTACGATCTTTGCTCTAAGCACCATGACTAGTTCTGTTCAGGTAAGCTCCCCTCCTCTGCTCCCTTTCTTTGCCCATCTTCCCCTTTCCCTTCCGCCCTCCCTTCTTTTGGGGATTGAACCTAGGACCTTGACAATGCTGGGTCAACCTTGACAATACCTTGACTATTCTACACTAGCTCTCTAGTCTGTCAGTTATTTTCTCTTGACACAGTTCTTGTGGTTGTATATGAGAGTTCTTTTTAGATTGTGTTCTAGTTTGCTCTTCTGCGATTGTGATAAACCACTCTGATTAAAATCAACTTGGGGAAGAAAAGGTTTATTTGGGTTACACTTCTAGGTCACGATCCATCATTGAGAGAAGACAGCAGGAGCTCAAGGCAGGAATTTGGAGATCTGGAGACAGGATCTAAAGAGAATGCTGCTTATTGGCTTTTTCCTGCTCATGCTTAGCTAGTTTTATATGTATAATTTCAGACCTACCTAACTAGGAGTGGTACCACCTGCTGTGGGCTGGACCCTCCCATATGAGTCACTAATCAAGAGAATCCCTTCCTGGCTCAGCAGTTAAGAGCACTGGCTACTCCTCTAGAGGACCCAAGTTCAATTCCCAGCACCTACTTGGAAGCTCATAACTGTGTGTAACTCCAGTTCCAAGGGATCCATGGCACTAGGCATACATGTGGTGCATATACCTGTACAAAGTACCATACAAATTAAAAAATAAATCTCGAAAAGAAAGGAAGAAAATCTCTTCTAATCATGGCCATAGGACAGTCTGTTTGAGGAAGTTAATCAGTTGAGGTTTCTGATTTCTCAGGTGACTTCAGGATTGTGTCAAGTTGTTAAAATTTAAGCAACATAAGCTACATGCATAACTTAAACTTTTAAGCTCAAAATGAGTTTTTTATAAGTATATACAAAGCATTTCAAGAAAAATCTCAAACCTCTTAACCTGTTTTAAACTATAAAGAAGGAAGTTTTGGATTTTAGTCTTATATTCTTATTTTTCCTAAAAGACTGATAATACTGCTGTATATAAAAATAGCCCTCATATGCTTAAATGCAAATCTTGAGTTGTACAAAGCTCCATCCATCCAGTATTCTAAGCTAATTGGGGACTTGTTTGAAGTAAGCCAGTATGCTATCAATCTGGATTTTGTTTTCTAGATTTACAATTTGTCCCAGAACATTCAGGAAGATGATCTTCAGCAGCTACAGGTAATAAGAAAGGGTAATGGGAATAGTGGCTGAAAGATAAAGTATCAAGTGTTTTTTATCCTGTGGAATCTACACATGAAAGCAGAAGGGGGGACTGTCTGAAGACAGGAAAGAGACCAGGGAGGAGGAGGGATGTGAGAAAATAGCAGTGGGTGGGTGGGTGGTGCTGGAAAGAGGCTCAGTCACTGAAGCTCCTGCTGTGCAAGCATGAGGACCTGAGTTTGAAACCCCAGCACTCACATAAAATGAACAGCTTGGGGTGGTGGCTCATGCCTTTTATCACAGCACTCAAGAGGTAGAAGCAAGTGGATCTCTAAGCTTGAGGCCAGGCTGGTCTACACAGTGAGTTCCAGCATGGTGGTCTGCTAACCCCAGTGTTGGAGAGGGAGATAGGACAATATCTAGAGTTCACTGGCCAGTAGTCTAGACAACTGCGTAGTTCCAGGTTCTGTGAGAGATTGTGTTTCATAAACTAAGGTTGAATGGTATAGAAGAAACCTGACATCCTCTGGTCTCCCATACACATGCCCTAGCATGCATACACACCTCACAAACACACACGCATATATACACACATGAGCATGTACATATGCATATAACACACATATTATACACACAGCAAAAACATATACGTATAAAAACAGAAGAAACAAAAGCAAACGGCTGTATGTATTCCTCATAATTTTCTTTGTTTTTTGTTTTTTGAGTATTGTTTTTTGAGATAGAATTTCTCTATGTATCCCTGGCTGGCCTGGAACTCACAGAGATCCACCTGCCTAAACCTCCAAAAGAGCTGGGATTAAGGCCATGTGCCACTACAGCCACCCTTTAATATCATGATTATCATTTTAAAGAATTAAGAATAAGCTGGGCGGTGGTGGCATACGCCTTTAATTCCAGCACTCAAGAGGCAGAGGCAGGTGGATTTCTGATTTTGAGGCCAGCCTGGTCTACAGAGCAAGTTTTAGGGCAGCCAAGGCTGTTACACAGAGAAACTCTGTCACAAACAAACAAATGGATCTAGTGAGATCTGGTGAGATGACTCAGTAGAAGTGTTAAATCCCTAGAACCCACATGTTGGTAAGAGAAAACCAACTCCTTAAAGTTGTCCTCTACCTCTGCATGTGCGTGTGTGTGTGTGTGTGTGTGTGTGTGTGCACAAATAAATAAATACAAAAAAGTTAAATGTACCTGTCTTTCTTTGTCTTCCTTGTCTCGAGACTGGATGGTCTTGGACTTCTGATTTTCCTGCTTCTACCCTCCCAAGTGCTGTGATTAGAGTGGAACTAGCTCTTGTAGACCAGGCTGGCCTCGAACTCAGAGAGATCCACCTGTCTCTGCCTCCCAAATGCTGGGATTAAAGGCGTACGCCACCACCATCTGGCTACCTTCACAAGTCTGTGAGAGAGACATGAATGAACAGGCATAGTGGTTCATTCATTCTACTTTGAAGACTACTGTCAAAATACTCTGCAAACTCAATGGTATATTTTCTACAGAATTGCTAAAAATAAAAAGTGTTGAGTGGGGATGGGCCAGTGAGATGGTTCACTGGGTAAAGGTGCTTGCATGTAGGCCTGATGTCACAAGTTCAATCCCTGAATCCCACAGGGTAGAAACAGAGAACCAATTCTACAAAATTGTCCTTTGATCCACATAAAAGGGGTCACACACACACACACAAAATGAATACGTTAAATAAGGGAGGCTGGAGATGTAGTTAAGTGGAAAAACAACTGCGTATCATGTGTATACCTTAGGTCAATATCCAACAACACTCCATTACAAAGTTTGATGTTAAAGTCTAGATTTTAAAAAAATGTATGTATGTATGTGCATGTGTGTTTACATGCCATGGTACACACGTGTAACTTAATTTGGGAGTCCATATTCACGTTCCTCCTTGTTAAGACAGAATCTATCTTGTTATTTTTGCTGCTGTATCTTAAGCTAACTGGCCTGTGAGCTTTGAGTCTTTGTTCTGACTCTCCATCCCATTTTGCTGTACGAGTGCTGGGATTATAGATGCAAACTACCACATCTGACTTTTTGTGTGGGTTCTGGGGCTTGAATTTAGGTTAGAGTCCTCAGACTTTTACCCACTGAATGATTTTCTCGGACTAAACTTTTGTTAAGATTGCATACACTACTCTTGTATTTCTCTGGTAGAGGGTGGGACCCAGGGTCAGATTTCTAAACATTTCTTTAGTTGTCAGTCCCAGCTTTTCATTTCTCAGCTGTTTAAGAGTTCTGCTAAGAGAATGTTTTATTTCTTGGGCCTTTTTGCTTCCTCACATTTGTTAGCAGGACATGAAATGCTGGAACTGGACATTTGTTCTGTTTCTTTTTGCCCTTCGTGTTATGACAAGTTCTTTGTACTGTCACATTCTTTCATGTTCTCTTTGTCCTGTGAATTTGACAGTTAAGCTTCATTTTATTATACTTAACTGTGGCTTCTTGAAGAAACAGATAAATATATGCAGGAATCCTAATCTGCGTGAATTCATTGCCATTTTAATGGTGTAGATATTTACTATACTAACAGGACTTTTGCTGTTGGAGATAACAGTGCACAAAATGGTAATGCCCCTGCACTGTGGTCGGAGTGCTCATGGTGATTTAAGGCTAAATTAATATTTACAATTTTTTAGATTTATGTGTATAAGTGTTTTTGCCTACATGTATGAATGTGCCTGGTGCCCATGGAGGTCAGAAGAATGTTATATCCCCTGGAACTGGAGTTATAAATGATTGTGAGCCTCTATATGGGTGCTAGGAATCAAACCCAGGTCCTCTGAAAGAACAAGTGCTCTTAACTACTGAACCGTCTTACCAGCTCCCAAATATTTTTGCAAAAGAATACTATAAAACTATTTTAAAGTAGTTTCAAGCCACTAACTCTTCTTTTCTAAAGCTCTTCACAGAATATGGACGTCTGGCAATGGATGAAATTTTCCAAAAACCCTTCCAGGTAAAGCACTATAGAGTCACAGTTTAGTTCACAGTTCAGCAGATGTGCCTGTTTTTATTTTTTTTTTTTAGGGTTCTGGGTTGAGGTTTTATTTTTGCTTACTTTTGAGTCCTAAACGTTCATTCACAAGCTCAGTAGTACAGAGCTAGCCTAGATGTTCAAGGTCCTGCATTTGGTTACCAGTACCATAAGCAGGGGGAAAGTTCTTGGTTTAAGTTTCTGTTCACGAGTCCAGCAATGGTGGTGCACGCCTTTAATCCCAGCACTTGGAAGACAGAGGAACTATGAATTCAAGGACAGCCTGGTCTACAGAGTGAAGTCTAGGACAGTCAGGGATACACAGAGAAACCCAGACTCAAAAAAAGCCTGTTTTTAATATAACCTATAAACTACAGTTTGTTTTGCTGGTTTTTTTTTTTTTTTAAGACTGACTTAGCTAAGGCTGGTCTCCTTCAGCATGCCCTTTAAAGAAGATTCTGCTAATCTTTCTGCTAAAGTATTACAGTAATAACTAATTAATCTTGAATATGCACTTGTACAGGGTTATAATTCTGTTCTTTTCTGCCATAATAGACTCTGATGTTTTTGGTTCGAGACTGGAGTTTTCCTTATGAATATAGCTATGGACTGCAAGGAGGAATGGCATTTTTGGATAAGCGTTTACAGGTAAGTGGGAGATCTGAATAATTACCTAAAAGTAGTAACTTACTCATTTGCTTTTGACTGTTGGAGGGAGCGGGCCGCTTGTTTGTCCCGGCCACCCGGCTAGCTTACACTCAAAATAACCACACAGAAACTGTATTAATTAAAACACTGCTTGTCCATTAGCTCTAACTTCTTATTGGCTAACTCTTAAATATTAGTTTAACCCATTTCCATTAATCTGTGTATCGCTTCGTGCCAGTGGCTTACCAGAGATTCTAACTGGTGTCCATCTCAGGCAGAGGATCCATGACTTCTCGCACTCTATCCTTCTTCTCAGCATTCAGTTCTGCCTTCTCTGCCTACCTAAGTTCTGCCCTTTCAGGCCCAAAAATGCAGTTTCTTTATTCATTAACCAATGAAAACAACACATGAACAGAAGATCCCCTACACCATTTGACTATTATATTTAAAGCATATTATTGAAAGTGATACTCTGTAAAATGTTTATAGTTATTATAAGCCAGTATATATTTTGTTTAAAATTTTAAAATTGCATATATATATTTGTATGTGTGATAGAGAGGAGAGCACTGCAGTATTCATGTGAAGGTCAGAGGACAGCTTGTGGCAGTTAGTTCTCTCTTCACCTGTGGGTCTCAGGGACCAAGCTTAGGTCAGCAGACTTGGTGACAAGTACCTTTCCCTGCTGAGCCATCTTTCTGTCCCCAGTATTTTTTTCATGGTAAAGTTGAAGGGCCTGGGCATATGATATATAGGCACTGTAGAGGAACTCTGAGCAAAAGGCCATTATAATTATAATTTCCAGTTGTTATTTGGATCAGGTTCTATTTGTGCCTTTAGAATGTCATGTTTATAATTATAGTTCTGTTCTTATTCATTATTATTTGCTTTGGCATATGTACATATATATATAAACCAGCCTAGCCTGTTCCTAAAACCGAAGCACAGGAGACTTTTGTCAGTCACTGCTAGCTTATTGGATCCTCCTTCTGGCCAACAAGGCTTCTCTTCTTCTTGAATGTTGTGCAATGCCCTTTAAAATCAAGTCTTTAGTAACTGTTCTCTGTTAGCTATGGGAACAAAGTGCACGGTCATGCACTTACTGCTTTTGGGGTTCTGGCTCTTCCCATTAGTCACTCTGATCTGTCAGTCAGGAAGTTTTCTTTCCTTTGTCTTTATGCTAGTGGCTGCTAGTGACAAATACCAAATTATTTTTAGCTGGTAAACTGTTGATTTTCCTTGGCAGGTGAAGGAACATCAACATGAAGAAATTCAGAACGTTCGAAATCATATTCACTCATGTTTCTCGGATGTTACCTGTTTTCTCTTACCACATCCAGGGCTCCAGGTGGCCACAAGCCCTGACTTTGATGGGAAATTGAAAGGTGTGTTACATGCATTGTTACTGTACATATGATTTGATTTTTGGAATTCCATAATGAACAGTGTCAATTATAAATTAAGTCAAATGGATGGTTATGAGAACAAATGTGGTTTCATAGAGAGAGTAGCATTAGTCTAACTCAGATTTTGCTCCTGACTTACTGTGACCATCAGAAGGATTTTGCCTGTTTCACAAACTGGAAATAAGATGATGTTCTTCAGGGATCTTTCCAAGAGATATATTATGGTTCCCACCTTACAGGAGATCAAAGTGCTGAATAAAGGAAGACAAAGTCAAGACATCCAGTATTTTTCAGGTACAATTATCTTCCTCAGGAAAAGTACACGATAGACAGCTAGGTTACTGTTTTGTTTTTTTTTTTTTTTTTTTTTTTTTTTTTTTTTTTTTTTTTTTTTTTTTTTTTGGTTTTTCGAGACAGGGTTTCTCTGTGGTTTTGGAGCCTGTCCTGGAACTAGCTCTTGTAGACCAGGCTGGTCTCGAACTCACAGAGATCCGCCTGCCTCTGCCTCCCGAGTGCTGGGATTAAAGGCGTGCGCCACCACCGCCCGGCTAGGTTACTGTTTAAACTTACTTGTGTTTGTAGCAAAAGCTGATGCTGGGTCATGGGCTAACGTCAGAATTGCTGAGTTGTTGGGGGGTTAGAGAACCAGGATGCTTGGGTACCATTATCTTATTTTGTTCCTTATTCCTGGAGGCCTTGAGTCACCTGATGGCTGGCCCACAGTTTATACTTGCTAAGCAGTTTATTTATTGGCTGATCAGAGTCTCTTAATTTTCCCTAAAACTCTGATAATAGTAGCTGCCAGCTTTACAGTCCCTTTGTGTTCCCAGTGTTGTGCCAAGTGCTTTCAAACTAAGTTCACAGTAATTCCATGAAGTTACATCATTTCTTTTATCTCAAGCTGGTGAAAACAAGGAAAGTTAAGCAACTCACTCAAAGTTCTCAGCTAAAAGCAGTGGGGCAGAGGTTCACGTCCTGATTCTGGTGCCTTAAAGCCCGTACCATGGGAATAGTCGTTCATTGTTGTTTGAAGGAAGTCTTTAGAGAATATTTACTTGTTGAGTTACCAGGGCAACTTTCCTTTTAAAAGTAGTCTCAGTGTATATGAAATACATAGTTTTCATTTTTTTATTTAGTTAATTTAAGAAGAAGAATATATTTGTCTGTCAAAATGTACAGACATAAGGCTAAAGAGATGTCAGTAGTTTAGAGTGCTCTTTGGTTCTATCGTCTGTCCGTGTCCCCCCTACCCTGCATCAAATAGTTCACAACTGTCTGTAACTTCAGTTTCAGGGGATCTTCTGCCTTCTTCTGACCTGTCTGGGTACTGGCATGGACATAGTACACATAACATATGTACATGCAGCCACACACACATAAACTAAAAATGGATACTTAACATTTTTTCTTAGATTTATTCTGTGTGTATGAGTATTTTGCCTGCTTGTATGTTTGTGCACCATGTGTGTGTCTGATGCCTGCAGAGCTCAGAAAAGTGTTCTGGATCCTCTGGAACTGGAGTTATTGATTGTTGTGTGCCTCCATGTGGATTTTGAGACCTGAACCTGGATCCTCTGCAAGGGCAACAAGTATGCCTAACGACTAAGCCATTTCTCCAGCGTGCGTGCATGAGTGGTGATAACATATTTGTGTGTGTGTGTGTGTATGCACATGCAAATAGTGATAACATATATATTTTTTCCTCTTTATTTTTTGAAAGGGCAGGATCTCATGTAGCCCAGGCTGGTATCAAACTCGGTAGCCAAGAGTAACTTTGAACTTTTCTTCCTGCCTTTGCCTTCTGACTGCTGAGATTAAGATATACACCGCTGTGCCCAGCTGGAAATGTTCTTTCAGCGTTATGGTGCTTCATGGTTATCTGGATTTTTATAAAATCTAAGCTGTTGGATTTTTGTTTGTTGTTATTTAGCCCTGCCTTACCTGGGAGTTGATATGTAGACCACCCTAGCTTTGAACTTGGAGCAATTCCCCTGTTTCCACTCCTTGAATGGTGTGATTCCAGATGTGTTCTACCACACCTAGTTGAGGAGGATGGATCAGAGTGACTTTGTGCCTTGTCTCATGGGGAGCTCAGGTTACCAGGTAACATAGAAAAATAGGCATAGAAAAATGGCCTTTCCTATCTTAAGGCATTTTAATATTTCAAAGCCTTCAGTTTTGAAACTCAGTTTCATTTTAAAATTTTTATTTAGAAAGACCGTTTTTAAAAGTTGTGTGACTGTGACTTGAAGGTGTGTTGTTACTGGGATGCACAATGTTTGCATTCCTGTGCTTGCCTTTAACAAGGTACTACAAGCTGGGCCGCTCAAGACAACAGAGATGTGTTCCTTTACAGTTCAGGAAGCTAGACATGTGGAGTGGTGGCTGCTTCCTTGCAGGGGCTCTGAGGAGAACCTCTGCCATGCCTTTTTCCTGGCCCTTGGGAGGTGATGGCAATCCTTGGCACTCTTTGACAATGGTTGTGCCTCTGATTTTTTTGTTGTCGTATGGCTGTCTTCCTACCAGCCCATCAGTAAATTTAAGGCCCCCTCAGAGCCATATTAAGTCCTTATTTTAGTGAATCACATTTGCTGGGACACCTTCCAAGTAAGGTCACATTCTGAGATTACAGATGGATGTGTGTTTGGGGAGGAGGCACTGTTTTTTTTTTTTCATGCTTTCTTATTGTGTATATTCAATAAAACAACCAATACAAACACACTTATGGTTGTGTACAAATCCTTGCCAGTACATAAAGATAAACCAGAGTTTGTGTATATAAAATACACACAATAATCATGAAATTACTTGTATATTTGTGGAGTGCTAATTTAAACGATTAAACTATGAACTGTATTTATCAGATGGGTGAAGAGATTAAGGTTTTCAAATGATAATGCTGCTAGCACTTTTCTTACATGTTACATGTTTCTACCTAATATATTTGCTACTGGTGGAGAAGACATAACCTCACTTGGAGAGACCTATTTTTGTATAATGGTAGATTTGGACTTCACTGGGGTATTTTGTCAAGTACTGGACTAAAAATGACTTCATCTTCTCCATACTGTATTTGAACCTTCTTCATTTTTAACTAAGCCGCAGCTCAGCTATGGTACATAGCATTTTGTTACTCTTCTCTCTAATAAGGAGAACTTAAGATCCAAAAAGTGCTTTCTTTCTCAGGAGGGAGAGAAATGTTTACTCCATTGTCTACACATAGAGTTTGCTGATGGTTTAGTCACTAAACAGGAAGTATGTGGTTTCACACTGTTTATGTTTATGAAACAGGGAGCAAATTTAGTGTAAGCAATCAATCTCCAGTCTCATGACTAGGAACCATTTGGTTCCCTCATTCAAGATAGAACCATATTTTTAAAAATTATTTTTAGAGATAGGGTCTCACTTAGCTTTCCTCTGGAATTTACTGTGGTAGACCAGGCTGGTCATGTACTCACAGAGATATGCCTGTCTCTGTTTCTGAAATGCTGGAATTAAAGGTGTGCACCACCACAAATAGCCTCAAAATAGAATTATAAAATAAAATAGGGTTTAATTAATTAATTAATTAATTTTTTACATATGAGAAGGCAAGTCCAAGAAGGGCTAGAGGTATGTAGCTCACTTATAGGGTCCTCCCTGGCATGTATAAAGCACTGAGTGTGATCCTCAGCATAGAACAAAAACCAAAAAGCAACCAAACACAAAATTGAGACCAAACCCAGACACAGACCCTAATCTGCAAACTCCCAAACCTAAATTATTGACAATATGTGAGTCATTACAGCAATCAGAATAGCAGAAATATGTTAGCATGTTATAGTTTCTTTTTTTCTTTCCTCGAGACAGGGTTTCTCTGTAGACCAGGCAGGCCCTGAACTCACAAAGGTCTGCCTTTCTCTGCCTCCCACGTGCTGGGATTAAAGGTGTATACCACTACCACTTGACTGTGTTATAGTTTTAATGCATAGTAATTTGGTGATATCAAAATTTTAATTTTTTTTCTTGTCTCTAGTGTTCTGCTTTTAAGAGTTTATCCAAAGAAATTTTCCAAATGGGTAAAAATTGTGTTCAAAGATACATATTTGGTAGGGATAACTTCAAATCAAATGTGTACTTACAAGGAATTAGTTGATTTATGACATGTTATACACAGAGTATTTAAGTTTAGTCAAGTCCAGTCATTAGCCAGGTGTGTTTTGGTGGTGCACACCTGTAGTTCCAGCACCAGGAAGGCAGAGGTAGGAGCATCCAACTTGAGACCAACCTGGGATGCAAAGGGAGACCTTGTCTCAAAGCAGTTATTAAAAATAATGAGGTAGATATTTGGATCTATGTACATAAAGAGGAGTCGGGGATAAATTATTAAATGTAAGAAGATTAAAGAATAGCATATGAAATCTGATTCAAAAAATTAAGTTGTACTGTATTGGTTGACATAGGGTCTTGCTTGTTTTGTAGTCATTGCTAGCTTCAAACTGGCTATATAACTAACCTTGAACTGCTCTTCTCCTGTTTTATCCATCCCAGAGCTAGGATTACAGACTAGTATCATCTTACCTAGTTTACAAGTACTTTAAAAAATGAAAACACTTGCCAGGTGGTGGTGCACGCTGTTAATCCCAGCACTCGGAGAGGCAGAGACAGGAGGATCTCTGAGTTTGAGGCCAGCCTGCTCTACAGAGTGAGTTCCAGGATAGGCAGGGCTATACAGAGAAACCCTGTGTATCGTAAACACTTAAAAGTATAATTTTCCTTTTTTACCTCAATTTTAAAATTTGTTAATAGTTTGTGTCTGTTTAAAGAGCTACAGTGTAGTCAGATACTATATACCTTTTCACTCAGCAATGACCTTTGTACAAAATGGTCCCAGAGATTATAGAGCCCATGAGTGTCATGTCTGCCTGATACAGATTTGTACATATGCATTAGACAATGTTAGCACAGTGAGGAACTTACCTGATGACATAGTTCTTAGATTTTATCCCTGTTGCTAAGCAATACTATACTGTTAGATTAAGTGACTATACTTTAGATTTATAGGTGGATAGTTCGTAATTTTAGATAAGTCAGAGAATAGCTTTGTGGAGGTCTCTTCTACGCTTAGGTGGGATCCAGGGATTAAACTCAGGTCGTGAGACTTGCATAGCCAAAAGCCTTTTATTCACTGAGGCATGTTGTACCCATTTCTTGGAGACATTGTCTTACTATGTCCTTGGATGGCCTAGAACTGGTTATATAGCCCTAGCTGACCTTGAATTCAGTTGTTTACCTCAGCTTTCTAGTGCTGGGATTTCCAGCATATACCTCTAAGCCTGCCTTTATTGAGCAGCTTCTGTGAAGAATAAGTGCTAACCTGAAAAAAGATGACTTATAAATATTTGGCTAGGACTGACCTGAAAGTCACACAATTTTTAAAAATTTTTTGGAGACACAGAGTCCAAGCTGGCCTCTAACATTCTAGGTAGCCAGGGATGGCCTTACCTCCCAAGTTCTAGTGTTGTAGCTGTGTGCCGCCATATCTGGCACCACACGTGGTGGACTTCATTGTGATTGTAAGTAGAACCCATGTGGGGGTGACTCAGAAGGGAAAGGCACCTGCTGCCAAGTATCATGATTGTAGTAATCTCAGGTCAAATAGGAACTTAGCTGTGGTGTCATAGAAGCTAAGCTGCTGTGTCTTTTGGTAGAGGGTCAACTGCTATTTTGAGGCATTGTTTCATCATATGGAGGATGACTATGTCATTAGCATAAAGAAAACTATTCCCTGGAGCGGGGAGATCGCTACAGAAGCTATTTATGTATTTCCTTAACCAGACACTAGGGCTTAGTCTTTTTTGACATCATGAGTGACTGGACCGACTGTCTTGAGACAGTTCTTTTATGATTTGAAAGCTGTTATTTTGGAGTTGCCTTAATAGGCATAAGTAGTCTGAGATCTTTAAATCTTGGTGTCTGCATCCTTTTGGTTCCATGAAATAAGTAATCTTGGTTTTTGAAATAGTCCTTCAGTATAATGAAAGATGAAACCATAACATGGTTAAAAATAGATAATATGTTATCACGTTTAAAAAGAGGATCAGAGAGATAGCTCAGGAAATAAAGGCCTTCAAGCCTAGACTCATGGGGTAGAATGAGAATGACTACCACAAGTTGTCTTCTGACTTACACACAAACAGGTATGCACTTGTATGCACACACACATTTTTTAAAAAAAATTCCCCAAAGAATTAAAAGGTATTTAATGAAATGTCATTTTTTGTAAGGTTCTATAGTTTAACATATGTAAGCAAGTAAGTTTCTGTAGAACAGTATAGTGTGTCCACTGCTTTATACTTTTTTCAGAATAGGATTTCAAGTACAGATTTTTAGATTTTTTTTTTGATTTTTAGATTTTTTATTTTTACTTTTATGTGTTTACATGTTTTGCTTGCACATATGTCTGTGCATTATATGAGTGCAGTTCCTGCAGAGGCTAGAAGAGGATGTTGGATCCTCTGGAACTGGAGAAGAGGAGCCAGTTCTCTTAGCTGTTGAGCCCTCTCTAACCCCTTAAGTATGAGCTTAATGATTCATCCTACCTTTTTATTTCTTAAAACTTAATGGGTTTATTTTTCATATTGTAATTAGGTTTATTGATGTGGGGTGTCCTTCTCTGTATGTGTTGCTTTTATTGGTTGGTGAATAAAGCTGTTTTGGCTAATGGCTTAGCAGAGTAAAGCCAGGCTGAAAATCTGAACAGGATAGGGAGAGAAGGCAAAGTCGAGGAGACACCATGTAACTGCCGAAGGAGAAAGATGTGAGAACATTACCTGTAAGCCACAGCATGGTGGTGATACATAGATCAATAGAAATGTGTTAATTTAAGATGTAAGAGCTAGGAATACGCATGAGCCATTGGCCAAACAGTATTGTAATTAATATAGTTTTGTGTAATTATTTGGGTCTGGGTAGCTGGGAAACGAAAGTGCAGTCTCTGTCAACAATTTATGGAGTGCTGAATAGTATCTTGATAATGGGCAAAACTTTATTTTCATTTGACTGTTGGAACCTCATAAAGATATTAGATTATATAAATGATATTTCTGATAATTAATTCTCCTACATCTTCATAGTCAGATCTGTTTATTCTTACTTTGAGGAAAGGGCACCTCTGCTTGATAAATCCCCTGAACCTGCTTTGAGAACCTTGTGCAACCTACAAAGAGTCAGTTTTCTGACATAATAGCCTTTTTACATTAAGGTGGCCTGGGAGCTTCTGATGAGATACTTAGAAGTAAATAGCAGAAGGTGCTCTTTGAGTGTAGTTGTTTTTTTTTTTTTTTTTTTTTTTTTGAGATGGTGTTTCTCTGTGTAGCCCTGGTGGTCCTGGAACTAGCTCTATAGACCAGGTTGGCCTTGAACTCAGAGATCCACCTGCTTCTGCCACAGTAGTGCTGGGATTAAAGGCGTGTGCCACCACCATCCAGCAACTTTTTCGGGGGAGACAATTTATAGCTCATTTAAGTCTCATATTCATTATGTAGCCCAAGCTGGCCTTAAGCCCCCGATCCTCTTCCACCTGCTTCTGCTGGGATTCTAGGTGTGAGTCACAGCACAGGCAATAATAGCTGCATCTTTTAAGACAAAATCTTAGCAAAAATGAGGCAAAGGAATAAATAATGACTTCCTGTTTATTTTAAGGGATAGTGTGGGGTGCAGAAAGGGCATGGGGCAAATGTAGTATTTATTTTGTTTTTGAACCTTATTTAATTCTTTGTTTTGTTTTTGTTTTTTGATATAGGGTTTCTCTGTGTATCCCTGGCTGTTCTGGAACTCACTCTGTAGACCAGGCTGGCCTGGAATTCACAGAGCTCTGCCTGCCTCTGCCTCTTGTGTGCTGGGATTAAAGGTGTACAGCACCACCACCTGGTTCCTTTTTTAATTCTTTAAGAAGTTATGCTTTCTTGGGAGGCAAAAGCAAGAGGATTGCAGTTTGAAACCAGACTTCCTTGGTTCATAGTCAGGATTCTGTCCCTCAGGCCAAGAAATTTCTTAAAAATCGAGGGAATAGACCAAATATCCCAGAATTGAAACCCAAGATAAGGATTTTTTTTCTCTTATACCTTTGGCTGTCTTGAAACTCACTCTGTAAACCAGGCTGACCTTGAACTCACAAGTGTTGGGTTTAAAGGTATGCATCAGCATTGCCTGGCTAGATAAGGATATTCTCCTTTTTCTGTTCTGAACTGGAAAGGACTTACATGTGACAGGAAGAGAGAGCACAAAAGTAAGTGCACTAGGACAGTAGCCTGGCCCCAGCCAAGGATAGCAAACATAGTCTTCACCTGTAATGGAGGCTGCAATCACACAACACTGTTGACTAGTGGTCCAGGTGTATAGTAGCTCTTATATCTTAATCTTAATCATATATATATATATATATATATATATATATATATATATCTTATATCTTAAGTTAGCCCATTTCTATTAATCGATATATTGCCACGAGGCTGTGGCTTACAAGTAAGGTTTCTGGTGTCTTTCTCCTTTGGTGCTACATGGCTTCTGCCTGCGTTCAGTTTCATTTTTCTGCGTACCTATATTCTACCCTGCCATAATAGGTCAAAGCAGCTTCTTTATTAACCAATGGTAATAAAACATACTCATAGCATACAGAGGGGAATCCCACATTATTCACCCCCTTTCTGCAAGGGTTTTGTTTTGTACTCATTTTGGCTTCTTGTTTCTTTCTTTTATGATTTTGTATATAGATATTGCAAGTGAATTCAAAGAGCAGTTGCAGGCACTGATACCATATGTACTAAACCCATCTAAGTTAATGGAAAAGGAGATCAATGGCTCAAAAGTCACTTGCCGAGGACTGTTGGAATATTTTAAGGTAAATAGAAATTTTAGTTCTAAATTTAGGATTTTTTTGTTTTGTTTTGTAAAATTGATTTTGATATTAGTAGTTTTCTTGGGGAGATGGTCAGAGGCATTTTACTACGTTAGTGTCCTTCGAGGAGAGGGCCACTGGGTGGCAGTATGGGCATAAGAACCAAATGATATTCTTTTTTTTTTATTTAAAATTTTTTTTTATTGAGAAAAGAAAAAAAACATAAACAAAAAACAAGTTTCCACCTCCTCCCAGCCTCCCATTTCCCTCCCCCTCCTCCCACCCTTCTCCCCCTCCCCCCACTCCTCTCCCCCTCCCTCTCCTGTCCACAGAGCAGTCCGGGTTCTCTGCCCTGTGGTAAGTCCTAGGTCCTCCCCCCTCCGTCCATATCTAGGAAGGTGAACATCCAAACTGGCTAGGCTCCCACAAAGCCAGCACATTAAGTAGGATCAAAACCCCATGCCATTGTCCTTGGCGTCTCATCAGCCCTTATTGTTCGCCATGTTCAGAGAGTCCGGTTTTATCCCATGCTTTTTCGGTCACAGTCCAGCTGGCCTTGGTGAGCTCCCAGTAGATCAGCTCCACTGTCTCAGTGGGTGGGTGCACGCCTCATGGTCCCGACTTCTTTGCTCCCAAATGATATTCTTTGTACTCTCTTAGTCATTACTGTGTCTTCAAGGAAGATGGTGTGAACAGGAGGTGGTTAGGAGATTGCTGTGAGTAGGCGATGCATGTAAGTGGGATGCAGCTATCTCCAGGTGATGGTCTCTGCCCACAGGTCCTGGTGAGACCATTGTGCATGGGGGCCTGATTGGAATCCTGGCCTTGGTAGGCTTGTACTGCTTGAGAGAATTTTCAGATAACTAAAAATGCTAACATGCACTCAGAAGTGTGTCGTGCTTCTGCTAATTCTTGATTGTTGATCTAGGGGTTTTAGGAAAATGCAGTTGTGTGGTCTCACCATTTTAAAACATGAGCAAAATACTTTAGAATTGTGTTTTTGTGATTACTTCTATGTTTCTATTTTAAGGCATATATTAAAATTTACCAAGGAGAAGATCTGCCTCACCCCAAATCCATGCTTCAGGTAATAAATTCTTTGGTATACTAAATGACTTGTTTTAATTGCTGGAATTGACCCCGATAAGGCATAACTCAGTGTTGAAGACCAAAGTGAGACTACTCCTTTTCTTTTGTAGCCTGACCTTGACTTCTAAGAGCACATTTTGCAGCAAGTGTGGGTATCCTCTGCTTCAGCTGTGTTCTCTTTAGAGCAGTTAATGCATTTGGGGCTGCTCTCCTTTCATGGCAGACTTGGGGAACACTGCTTTGCTATACCCAGCTGAAGCATAGTTGCTGTGTTGGACAAGTAGCTTCAAGTCATTGGTGTTTTACTTTAGTAGAACTTCTGGCTTTTGTCCTTGGGATTCATTGGTCATTTGCTTAAAACAGAAATAGCTTCTTGCTCTGATACTGAATATGTGGGTATTTATTGTTAAATACTCATTTCTTTAGTAGGAAAATGGTTTCACCAAATTGTTGGACCTTGTGATTGATAGTCTAATGAAAAATTTCCCCTTGTGTGTTTTGGTTTTTTGAGACACGGTTTCTCTGTAGCTTTGGAGCCTGTCCTGGAGCTAGTTCTTGTAGACCAGGCTGGCCTCGAACTCACAGAGATCCACCTGCCTCTGCCTCCTGAGTGCTGGGATTAAAGGCTAGCACTACCGCCGCCTGGCTCCCTTGTTTTTTTAATCTCTTTTCGAGGCTCTTGGGATTAAACCCAGGTGCCTTATACCTTATAGGTTAGGTAAGTGCTCTACCACCGAGCTTCATCTCCAGTTCAAAGTATGCCACTGTTAGAAATTGAAGTAAAGGAAATGATATATTCTTGGGTTTTAGAGGTTTGGTTTATGCTAAAGATTGTCAGGATAGATGTTTTGGCACAAAAATTGACTAAAGTCTGTTATATGGAAAGTTGAGTTATATGGAAATGTAAATAATGACAGGTTGCTAAAAAAGGAAGAATGGGAATAGGAAGAGAGATGTTTTTGCTTTGTTTCTGGGAAAATGTTTCAAGAAGTATTTATAGTTCATACTTTTCTTTCTTAAAAGGCTACTGCTGAAGCCAATAATTTGGCAGCTGCAGCCTCTGCCAAAGACATTTATTACAGCAACATGGAGGAGGTATGTTGGTAACACCTTTTCCCCTGGAGTGTCTATCTCCTGAGCATGACTGTTAACCTCAGAGGCCCAAACTTTATCCTACTCAATGTATCCCTTTTGCTTGAGATAAGGTTTTATGTAATAGGCTGGCCTGAAAATCACTGTGTAGTGAAGGCTGCTTTAAATGTGTGATTGTACTGCCTTTACCTTACTAATGCTATGGCACAGCAATGTGCCTTAAAGGTTTGTCTTCACTTATGATCTTGTGAATGTATGCCACAAATGTGAGAGTATTCGTGGAAGATGGTGTTGGATCCTCTGAAGCTAAAGTTTCAGGTGGTTGTGAATGGCTTAACATAAGTGTTGGAAATGTAATCTGATTGTCTGGGAAAGCCCTCTTTTAACTACTGAGCTCTCTCTCCAGTCCCTGCCTAATGTGTCTTAAGATGTTGAGACACAAAGCTATTTTTCAGGTCATCCTGGTAATTGGGATGTTCTAATTATTACTTTTTTTAATTTAATTTTTCTTTTATTTTGAAATAGAAGAGTCTTTCTATGTAATTGGAATCTTCTAGTTATTTTTGTTTTTCTGAGATGGGTCTTGATATGTAGTTCAGGTTGGTCTCAAACTCATGACAATCCTCTCGTGACAAGACTCCTAAGGCTTGGATTGTAAATGTGTGCCATCACGATTGTTATTTCTTTTCTGTTAAGATTTATTATTTATTAATGTGTATGTTTGTATCTGTAGATAGCTGAGTAGGCCAGAGGTGGGTATTAGATCCCCTGAGCTCTAGTTATAGGTTGTGAGCTTTCTCATGTGAGTGCTGGGAACTGAACTCTTGATTGTATGCAAGAGCAGCAGGAGTTCTTAACTGCTGAGCCGTCTCTCCAGCCTCCCAGTGTCTGGTTATTAACCATTTCTGACCAAGCTTTCTCAAGAGTATCTTTGTTCTTTCTGATTAGTATTAACGCTGTTTTTGTTTTTGTTTTAAAATTGGCTATCATATTTTTATGCGAGGCTTGCTATGTATCTCTGGCCTGGAGTTTGTTATGTAGACCAGCTCCAGCTCCATCTCTTGCCTCTGCGTCCTGAGTGTTGGGATTATAAATGTATATTAGTATGTTTGGCTTTGGCCTTGGCTATTTGTCTTTTCTGACTTAAAAAAAATTTTGCATTGGTGTTTTTGCCTGCTTGTATGTTTGTGTGAGAGTGTTGGGTCCCCTGGAACTAGAGTTACAGACACTTACGAGCTGCCATGTGGGTGTAGGAATTGAACCTAGGTCCTCTGGAAGAGCAGTCAATGCTCTTAACCACTGAGCCATCTCTCCAGCCCCTTTTTTGACTTCTTATTGAAGGAGAATCTCGTGTAATCAAGGTGGGCCACAAGCTCTTTAGTAGCTGAGGATGACCTTGAACTTTCTGATCCTCCTGTAGCTACCTCTGGAGTGTTGGAATAATACATGTGCACCACCATACTGATATTTATGGTATTGAGATTGAACCCCCAGGGTCTGTGCATACAGATACTAGGCAAATACTCAAATACTCTACAATGTGATTTATGTCCTCAGTCTCCCTTGAATATTTTCTGAAGTTAACTTTCAAGCTTTTTTTTCTAAAGCCTTAAGAGCATTCTAGTCTTTACTGTGTCTTTTTACTTTTTTTATTTGGCATGTACAAGACTTTTCATCATGTGTTTTTGTCATTTTTAGGTTTGTGGGGGAGAGAAACCTTATTTGTCTCCAGACATTTTAGAAGAGAAGCACCAAGAATTCAAACAACTTGCTCTGGACCACTTTAAGAAGACCAAAAAGATGGGCGGGAAGGATTTCAGCTTCCGATACCAGCAGGAGCTTGAGGAGGAAATCAAGGAACTGTATGAGAATTTCTGCAAGCACAATGGCAGCAAGAACGTCTTCAGCACCTTCCGAACCCCTGCAGTTCTGTTCACAGGCATAGCAGCATTGTACATAGCCTCGGGCTTCACTGGCTTCATTGGGCTTGAGGTTGTGGCCCAGCTGTTCAACTGTATGGTTGGACTGCTGTTGATAGCACTCCTTACCTGGGGGTACATCAGGTATTCTGGTCAGTATCGTGAGCTGGGTGGAGCTATTGACTCTGGTGCAGCATATGTGTTAGAGCAGGTGAGTGATGCTGGCTGAAGCTGGGGGTCTGTGGTGATTGTTCTGATGTTGTAAAGTTTGGAAGAATTTCATAGTGAAAAAGGGTTAATCCCATTTTCTAATGGGTGGGCTTTATATTTAATTCTTTTTTAGTATATTAATATTTAGTCCTGATATTTTGTTTTAATGCCTAAAAATAACCCTTTAATGCAAAAAAAAGAGTCTTTGATCTACTTTGTTCCTCCTAGGGCAGTTTTATTTTTATTTTTAATTGTTTTGGTTAACATATAAAATAGTGGGGTTCTTTATGGCATCTTCATATATACCATCATTTATGTCTCCAAAATGCAAATATTTTGGGGGCCGGGTTTGAGACAGGGTTTTTTGTGTAACAGCTCTGGCTGTCTGTAGTGATCTACAGACTAGCCTTGAACTCACAGAGATCCACCTGCCTCTGCCTCCAGAGTGCTGGATTTAAAGGTGTGTGCCACCATTACTCAGCTGCAAATGGTTTTTGAGATTGATGTAATCTCTAGGGTTTTTTATTTTTAAAGTCTTTAAAGTTTATTTAAATTTGTTAATATTATGTGTGTTGTGTTGCATATGATATGTGAATGTGGGTGTATGAGACCCAGAGCACAGGATGTGGAGGTCAGAGGACAACTTTGCAGAGTCAATTTTTGCCATTCACCTTTATATGGGTTCTGGGAATTAACTCAGGTAGTTAAGGTTGAGCAGCAAGTATTTACCTGATGAGCCATCTTGCTAGTCCATTTAGGGTTTTGGTTTTTTGTTTGTTTGAGATAGTTTTATGTTGCCTAGGCTGGTTTCAGACTTCATAACGTAGAAGAGAATGAACTGATTCTGCACCTCTAAAGAGATCTTAAGTGCTACAACTGCTAAGGGTATATGCATATCCTATATGCTACACCTGGCCGAGCTCCAGTTTCCATACATTATTTTTGAGACAGGGTCTTTCCATAGTCTAGGCTGGCCTCGGGCTCCCTGTGTTATGCAGAATTGCCTAAAACATACACTTTCAACCTTGTGAGTGCTGAGATTGTGTTGCAGGTGTGCACCACTGCAGCCAGTCATTTTGTGTGTTTTTAGTACGGTTTGTTTCTTTCTTTGGCATAAACAGACCAGTTAGGTCAACAGTATTAAGCTGGGGAAGCCTCCGCCTCAGCAGAGGAGCAGATGCTCCACTGGCTCTTAGGATCAGCTGTGGCCATGTTTCCTCTCACCACTGCGGTCTCATTCACCGCTGTGAGGAAAGCTGTTAGAAGTTATCACCTAGGACTTAGTTTTTTATGCTGTGTTGTAGTTTATTAACTAATAGATTAACTAAATGGACTTTTGCAGGCTTCTTCTCATATTGGCAATTCTACTCAGGCTGCAGTGAGGGATGCCATCGTTGGGAGGCCACCTACAGATAAAAAAGCTCAATAGCAAGACCCAACAAGAGCCCAGTCAGCCGCTGGATTTCTGCTAATGCCACCATGGGTCCAGTTCCAGAGGAATGGCCGAACTGAGAGCATCCTGGAAGAGCTGAGACAGGGCACTGTAATAAATGAACCGACCTCTCCTGTGGTTTCCCGTTCCACTTGTCTTGGAAGCAGTTCTTTTTCTTGCTGTTACAAGCCCAAGGCTACTCTCTTCTCTGCTTTGTGCACTTTAAGGGGTGGGGGTGGGGGCGCAGCTTTTAAGTCTCTGATGTGCCACATAGTGCCTTTTAAGACAATGCCTCTGCAGCCGTGAAGACTGAGGAATGGAGGACAGCCTCAGGAAATGCGGTTTTGGATCGAGTTCTCTTTTGGATTTTAGTTTTGTACCTTTGAAAATTTATTTTTCAAATGTTTACAGAACTTGAAAAAGGCTCAGAACTAAAGGCCAACTGAAATAATACTTATTACACTTAAACAATTTCTCCCAGTACTGGTGATTGAACCTAGTGCCTGACATGCTAGACAATTGCCCTAGCCTGGAGCTGTCCCCTAGCCTGCTTGACTGTGTAGTTTCAGGTCTTTAAATTACTTTGTTTCCAGGTTGGCTGTGAGCTTCCCATCTTCTTCCTCCCTCTCTAGCTTTTTTGAGTAGCTTGAATATAGACCTGTGCTACCATCCATCCTTCAGAAACCTTATTTATATGAATTATCTTTGCTATGCAACATGGAAAAAATTAAATCATTTAATAATCTGTGTTGGAGAATATAAGGTCTTTTATATAGGCTGGCAGTTTTGTTGAACTTGCTTTTTTACTTTTATTCCTATAGCTTCTTCCTAGAAAAGAGGTAAACAGTCCTTTAAAAGCCAGTGGTTCATAATAAAAGGTATGAGTGAGATACTTCATGGTAAAATTGTAGTTTGAATTTGTCTTGGTCAGATTCACTGCATATTTATGTATGTATGTGTTACTTTTAAAAATAGTTGTTTTTAGTGGAGAAAAGACATTACCAAATATTACTTCTTTTAATTAATGTTCAGTTACATATTGCTTAGTGGTAATACCAAATAATCTGATCTAAAGTTTTTACTTTAGATCAAACTTTAGTTTAAAACTGTAGTCAAACTTTTTATTTTATTTTTTTGGTGGTGGAGGTGGTGTCTGACTGTGTTGCACTGACTGGCCTGGAGTTTTTAATACAGACCAGGCTAGCCTTGAACTCATAGAGATCCTTGTGCCTCTGTGTGCCACTGTGCTTGACCCCAAACTGCTTTTTATTCTGTGAACTCTCTAATGTTCATAATATCAAAGCTAAACTGTTAATGACTGACTTAAGGATAGTTGCTCAGACTCTAAAATTTCCTTTTTTACTTTTACCTCGATTATGTGATAAAGTTTTATCTTTTAGTTTTTTTCCCTTTGATTTTGTAGTGGTGAATTACTGTGGATTTAAGCCTTAAAACATGCCTACAGGTATAGAAATTGTAATTTTTTTTAAAGGTAATTTGAAAGTTTGTTTTGGGAAGGAGATAGAATGGTTTTGGCCAAAGCTAGTGTAAATTTATGTACATGAAATATGAATGGAAGGTAGAAAAAAAGGTAGAAAAAAAAGTCTTGTATTTAATTTCCATATCAGAATTTTCTTCTAAGTTTTCTAATCAAACATTTAACAAATCCTAAATTAATATTAAGCATTTTACATATTTTTCTATTATCTTGTCCTGAAGTTCATAGTAATTTTTCCTTTCGCTGTGCCATCTGGGAACAAGCTTGTTTTGAAACTGTTACTGCTTGTGAGTGATGGCTGACCTTGGAAGGGGTTGGAAGTTCAGTCCTGCAGCGTGCAGGGTTTTCAGGTAGTGTCCCCTGTGTGAAAGCTTGTACTGAGTGATGGGTTCCCAGTGCTGAGATTGGGTCTTGTTATATAGTCCAGGTTAGCCTATAACTTTCTTTGTAGTTTAGTCTGGCCTTGTACCTAAGGTCTGCTATCGCAGCTTTTCTGAGTACTGAGCTTATAGGCGTGTCCCCATGCCCATCTCTGTTCTACGCTTTTTGTTTGTTTTGATTTTTTTTTTTTTTTGAGACAGGATTGCTCTGTGTAGTTTTGGAGCCTGTCCCTGGAACTAGCTCTGGCCTCTAACTCACAGAGATCCACCTTCCTCTGCCTCCTGAGTGCAGGGATTAAAAGCGTGCACCACCACCACCCGGCTGCCCAGCTCTACTCTAAATGGTGAGAAAAGATGATATGAGAAAGATTTGCTGTAATACTTCTATATTACATCTGTGTATGAGTTTAAGGTGAATGTTCCGTTAATTAACTTACTCTGCTTCTGGAACATGTTTATGAAGTTTTCTTTGAGCCGGGCGGTGGTGGCACACGACTTTAATCCCAGCACGTGGGAGGCAGAGGGAGGTGGATCTCTGTGAGTCTGAGCAACCTGGTCTACAAGAGCTAGTTCCAGGACAGGCTCCAAAGCTACAGAGAAACCCTGTCTCAAAAACCAAAAAAAAAAAAAGTTTTCTTTGAGGGTTCTTAGCTGTTTTCCTTGGCCTCTTTTCTAACTTTAAATTGTTGACTTTCTATCACAGTTTTTCAATACAAAATGTCTTTAATGAATGGCTAGAAATAGTCCTGAGGATATTCATAACTGGTGAAGGATTCTGTTAGCACCTCCAGCCTTTTGTTTGTGGGTCAGGGACATGGTATAGGAATCAGACTAGTGTCCCCTGGTCAGACCATGCTTTCTGTGTGTGTGGTGTTAATTTCTGCACTCCTGTCAATATGTGGAACACATTCCTATGAACATAATGGAGATTTTCATTAAAAATAACTCACTTTAGAAGAAACTAAATGTTGCCAAGATATCCTTGGTTTTGTTTTGGGGGCCCCAGGGCTGTGTGTATGGCAGGCATTTGCTCTATCCACCGAGTCAAACACTTCAGTCTGCCTCTTACCATCAAATGGATAGAATCGCGCCTTTGATTCTTCTGCTGAGAAGTCTCTCTCATGATTTATCGCTTGCTGATAAATGTCATACATCCCTTTTGAAGAGTACCAAAAATCTGTTTCATGGATGCTTGTAACTTCTCTTTTATTTCTTTTCTTCTTCTCTCCCTCCACTCTTCTCTTTTCCTTTTTCTGTGCAGCTCCAGCCAGATGTTTATGTTTGATACTTGCTTTATCCTGGGTCAAGTTGCTGTGAATGTTTGTGTTTAATTTGCTTTCTCTCACTTGCTTAAGGCAGACAAGTGCATAGGCACAAGCGTTGTGTTTTCTTTGCAGTTTCTTTAGGAGGTCACACACTGGTACCTAGGATATGTAAATGAGATAAAAATTCGGTAGGTTAATTTCAGCCTAAACCCCCAACCCCAAAAAATTTCCCACCAAAAAATAACAGGGAAGTATCAAAAGATCTATTTTGTTGGTGCCTTTTTTTGAAATGTAATGATGAGTTGGTTTTTCCATCACGTGAATACTTTTTTTTTTGTCAGGAACAAGGCCATAAGCAAGCCTCATCTAGCAAAATATTCCCTGTCCAGTGTGGTTGGTTGTAGTGGGATACAGTTGTTTTCCTCAGGAACTGACTGTAGCTCTATCTTGGACACTGGTTTCATCTACCTTTTCATGCTTTAGATTAATCTGTGGGGTGTATTGAAAGAAGCAGACTCTGCTTTGTATCTAGGGATTGTTGCCGTGGTTTTGTCTGTACCCTGAGATCCATCTCTTACAAATACCAGTAAGTGACTGGTGGGTGGGGGGATAAATGAGGGAGAATAAACTGATCTAGGAATGGGAGTACCCAGACAGGAAGTGCCCTTTGCATTTCGAGCAGATGCCTGAGGTCTGCTGCCAGGTCTGCTCATCGAGAGTTTACTATGTTTAGAATGATCAGGGTGCCTTAATTAGAGGACTGTCCAAACTTTTTAAAGCTGTCATAGTGCCTTCTCTTATATACCTGCCCTCATGCGCTAACAGGTGATTAGGATTTTTTTAAACAAATGTTGATAGTATTCCCTCTCATACTCTGAAGAAGCCAAGTTGGGCACTGCAACTTGAATCCCTTAATTTTTTGTTGTTTTGTTTTGAGAAAGGGGCTCAATATATATCCCTGGTTGTTCTGGAACTTACTGTATAGACCAGGCTGGCCTTGAGCTCACAGAGATGAGTCTGTCTCCTTTCGAATCCTGAAATCTTTTATATACAGAAAACCCTGAGGTACTAATATCAGTAATGAACAAAGGATGGGATTGTAAGTATGAAAGTAGTCATTGTGCACCCCACAGCAGGAGCATCACAAGGTAGCCCTTATCAACAGACAGGCTTCCTATGGGAAAGAATTTCATGTGCCAGAGTGCAAGTTTAATGTTCAGACCAAGGGAAGGTCACATTGATGCCCAAACCTCTTTAGTTCAGGTCATCAAAGGTGTTATGGATGTAAGCCTTAAAAGAGTTTAATCTTGAACATACACAAGGTATCCTGAATTTTACTTTAAAAATGAATTGTTATAAGAACTTTTGCTAGATCCTTGCCTTTGAATGGCTTTAAAACAATACAGATTTCTGAAATGCAGTGGGAAGCAATGATGCTGTTCTGTGTTAAAGGCACATTTCCGTTTCTTTTCTGGGTTGTACATTCATTTAATGGATTAAAGAGCACAATGCCATGTTACCTGTGTTTGTTGTCACTATTCTTTCTTGTGGAAGACCCGTAGGACAGAAGGGGCTTGGCAAGGGGAATTGGTGACCTGGTCAGAGGTGGGGCGATGGCAGGTCAGCTCACTTAGCCCTCCCTCCACAGTGATTCTTAGTTAGCAGTGAGCTGGAAAGGCTATTTCAGCTGCTTGAAAATCAGCAGTGTGTAGTCTTGAGGTTTACAGTATCTTCTAGTTGGCTGCTTGGAGCCAGAGCCAACTGTAGTTAAATAGAATCTCACAGTGGGGTGGATAGAGGGAGATCTGTGTTGAAATATTTTCTCTCCACTGATGACCAGGGAGGCAGTGGGGAAGTAGTACTAAGTTTCTTCAGTCCTGAGAAAGGTCACTATGTAGCCGTGGCTGGTCTGGAGCTCAGTATGTAGTCTGGACTGGCTTTGAACTTACATATCCACCAGCCTCTGCCTTAAGTAAGACCTTAAGAGTGCTGGGATAAGAGTATGCCACTACACTGGACTCACCCCCCTTTCCAAGACAGGATTTCTCTGTGTAGCCCTGGCTGTCCTGGAATTCCCTCTGTAGACCAGGCTGTCCTCAAACTCACAAAGATCTGCCTGTCTCTGCCTCCTGAATGCTGAACTTAAAAAGTATGCTCCACCATCTCCTGGGTTTTCCCTCCCTCCCTCTGTTCCCTTTGAGACAAACTCTCATATTGCCTTTCAACATAGTCATAATACATGATGAACAATGCCTAGAGGAGGTGTGAGACGCCAGGAAAAAAGGCAGAGGACCCTTTACCTCAAATGCATTTTGTTCCCTGGATTGTTCTTAGGCATGATTTCATACTGCCTGTGACAAACATTTGCAATCAATTTTTAAGACATGTTTGTTCCTGTTGGATGGAACATAGCTGTGGAGCCCAGTCTGATGAAAGGATATGCTAAGTGCTGTCCTCAGTGTACCCTGAATCTGGATATGGCCTTCTACTTTGTTTTTGTGCTTTCCCACATGCCAGACAGTTGTTTTTAAATTGGTCTATCCTGAGAAGTTCTAGGAAAGGGCTACTCTGTTAATAGTATGTGCTTACTGGCGTTTATTTATTTACATGTTTTTCTGAACCCAAATGACTTCCTTGGATCACTGCTTTGTTATGTTCATGTACACTGAAATTGAAGTAGTCTGCAGTGTTAGACTGTAGTTCTCACCATTAAGGTACTCAAATCCTGGCTTTTGAAGACAGGTTGGCATAGGTCAATGAAGGTCAACAGTTACCCAGGTTGGCCTTAAATTTAATATGTTTCTGAGGATAAGCTTGATTCTGCTTTGACCTGCCTTGTGCTGGGAATTTGTGTTGGGAATGGAATGAGGATGTCAGATTTTCTAGAAGTGTACTATTGTAATAGAAGAAAAGACAGTACAGAGGTTCCTCCATCTTATATTTGTGGAATTCATTTTGTTTAGCTAGAATTTGAACTTGATAAAGAATCTATGGAAGATAACCCAACTTCATTCTAGGAATCTCAGGTCAAAATGCCCTAGCTAACTTAGCTTCTGGCAAATTGCCTGCTTGTGCAAAACCTCCCTGTTAGCTGCTAAGGGAGATGCCATGATGTGGTTTCTGCCTTTAAAAATCCCTAGCTCTAAATACTGCATTGGGTCCTTAATACTTGTGTAGTCCCTGCTGGCTGAAATAAAGACTTTCAATTTGATATAAACTTTGTCTGAGTGGTCATCTCTAATGGGCTCCTTATAACATGGAGTCCCCCAGCAAGATCTCCAGAGACTGGATCCTGACACTTTAGGGCCCTTGGGATCCCAAGATTGGTGAAGAGCACACCAGCTAGAGGGGACTCCTAGAGGGTGTGCAGCTTGAGATGTTCTAGGGCCCAGGAAAATCCTCTCTGACCATGTTTTGTTGCTGAGAAGAGACACCATCCATGGCAACTCTTATGAAACATTTAGTTGGGATGCCTTACAGTTACAGAGGTCCGCTACCATCATGGTGGTCTGCGGGCAGACATGGTGCTGGAGAAGGAACTGAGAGTTCTACATCTTGTTTCCTACCCCTGGCCCACAGAGTTTCTCTTTGTAACAGCCCTGGCTGTGGCTGACCTAGAATTTGTACTGTAGACCAGGCTGACTTCAAGCTCACAGAGGTCCATCTGCCTCTGCCTCCTAAGTGCTGGCATTAACGGTGTGCATGACTACCACCACCTGGCTGAGTTCTACATCTGGCAATAGGAAGTGATCTGTGTCCCTGGGCGTAACCTGAGCACAGGAGACCTCAAAGCCCACCCCCACAGTTACACACAAAGCCATACCTCCTAATAGTGACACTTCCTATATGGACAGAGATACCCAGGAGAGTCATGCTTACCTCTCCAACTCTGGGAAGCAGAACTAAGTAGCATGTAGCTGTGCCCTTAGGCCCGTGGCTGTGCTCTCAAGCCTACAGGCCATGGCTGGGAGAAACCTCTTTGTACCATGGCCCATGAGAGATCGTGGGATCCCGCGATGAAGTGTATGACTATGCTCTCAAGTCCAAAGGCAGCATGGAGGTCATATACCTATGTGCATCCTGCAGGTCATATACCTAGGCTACAACCTAGAGGAAAATAAACAGATGCTTTCCCATGACATTTCAGCCACCCTGCAAACCTCCACTCCCACACCAAAACAACAACAACAACAAAGTACAGGAATTCTGGGGGGCAGTTGAATACTGCCAGTTATGGAGAGTGGGATTTGGCCAACCTCTACTATGCCAACACTGGGAGCACGCAGACTTTGAACTGAGACTGAGGCCTAGAAAAAGGCTCTGGAGTCTGCTCTCTGGCCCTGGTCCTCCAAGACATTACTAAGCCATTCCACTTGTAAGTGCATTGCCTAGGGGGTCCTCACACAAACCCTGGGATCCTGGAAAAGGCTGGTGGCTTATCTCTCCAAGAAACTTGTCTATGTCTGTCACAGCCAGATGGCCATATAAGGGCCATAGCTGCTACTGCCCTGCAGGTAAAAGAAGCTGAGTAACTAGAGCAGGAAGTGTTACTGACAACCCCATACTCTGTTGAGACCCTCTTGAGGAGGGCACCCAAGAGATGGATGTCTAAAACCTGGGTGGCTCAATACCAAGCCTTGCTTCTGGATCAACTTTGTGTTTGGTCCCACAAGACATCAATCTTCAACCCTGCCAGACTTCTTTCAGACAACAACCCTATGGGTCCTCTACATGACTTTCTTGAGGTAACTGACCTGATCCAATCAATCAGGCCTAATTTGACTGATGGTGGTGATACCAGATGACGTATTCTTCACAGATGGTAGTAGTTTCACCCAAGATGGGATCAGTTATGCAGGGGGCAGAGGTGGTGACCTAAGATGAGACAATCTGGGCAGTCTGTATGCAGGAGAACTTCAGCTCAGCGAGATGCACTTTTATCTTTGAATCAAGCACTCCACTGGGGAAAGACAAGGCTATCACCATGTACATTGATAGCCAATATGCATTCGTCACAGCCTGTGTCCATGGGGCTCTATATAGGGAAAGAGGATTGCTAAACTCAGCAGGAAAATAAGTCAAATAAAGAATAAATCTTAGCCCTATTAGAAGCTATCTGGTTACCCAAGAGGATGGCCATTGGCTATTGCAAAGGGCCCTAAGAAGGGGATTCCCCAGAAGCGAGAGTTGACAGAGCAGCTGATTTGGCTACTTGGGAAGTGACCCTAGAACTCCCCAATTCTTTTTATTTTTTTCTTTTTGTTTTTTCTAGACAGGGTTTCTCTGTAGCTTTGTAACTTGTCCTTGAACTAGCTCTTGTAGACCAGGCTGGCCTCGAACTTACAGAGATCCGCCTGCCTCTGCCTCCCCAGTGCTGGGATTAAAGGCGTGTGCCACCACTGCCCAGCAGAACTCTCCAATTCTTGCTAGCCCTGCTAGAGTTCATCTTACTGGACAGCCTGAGACACCCCAGGTGAGATTGTGCAACCAAACTGGACACACAGATAAATAAGGATGGTGAATGTTGCTGGATGGCAGGCCCATCTTTCTCATGAGTCTCATGAGGCAACTGGTTACAGAGTTCCATTAAACCACCCATCTAGGAGCCACAAAAAGGACCGAATTTCTCAGACCTAGGTATTATGTTCCAAATTTGGAAAGCCCAAATTAAATGCATCACTTTTAGGTGTGCCAGCTGTGCTCAGTTAAACCCCAAAGATGGAAGAAAGATCCCACAGAGGATCCGAGTCTGGGGGACATTGGGAGTTGTGCTTTATTGAAATCAGGTCTACTGTTTGTGCTATAATCATTTGCTGGTGTTTATAGGCAACTCCTGAGGATGGGTGAAGGCCTATCTGACCAGAATAGAGAATGACCCAATAGTTACTAAGAAACTTTTCAGGAAATAATTCCTAGGTTTGGGCTGCCCCTAGCTTTGGGGTTTCACAATGGCCTGGCCTTCATGGCTAAAGTGTCTCAAAATCTGACAAAGGTATTAAATATTAACTGGAGATTGCATTGTGCATTTAGGTCACAGAGCTCAGGTCAGATAGAAAGAACAAATAGAGCTCGTAAGGAGTCTTTGATCAAATTGGTCCTGGAAACTGGTGAAAAAGTGGCTCAACCTCTTCCCTTTGCCCTGCTCAGGGACTGATGTGCTCCTTACAGGGAGGGGCTTACTCCTTTTGAAATGGTGTTTGGGAGATCATCTCCCATCCTCCCCAACACATTCCCTGGCAGAAATGCCTAATCACTCCGATTCCAAGTCCCTGCAAGCTTAGCAGGAATTTGACAGGCCATCGACCCAATGGTGAAGGGAATCCTGCCATCTCCCATCTCCAAACTAGTTCTAACCCGGAGACTAAATGAGCCTGCCCTACTCAAAACCACACCCCCATTCTATGTGTATTTGTCTGTGCTATATTCCAGGTAGATGCCTATAATGGGGATTAGAGGAGGGGCCATAGTGGTCTAGATTCAATGTTAACAAAGGTTGAACTTGCCCCTTTCTGGTTCCCA